TATATATATATATATATATATATGAAATTTTACTGCAAATGTCAGCTGAGCCACATACAGACCTATCCTCAATGCCAATCAAGAACCGACCAATCAGAGAACTGCTCAAGGTCAGGTGGTGAAAGGTCATTGCAATTAAAACTAGTTTGGAATTTAGAATTTTTGGTAGATTCTGGAGAGTTCAGTGACCTAACAGTCTACGGTATCTCTCGAGAGTTCTTGTTGGCTTCTTATATCCACCCTTGAGACCATAATCAGCGGCGCACATGAGCAAAACGCACCGGCTGCTAATGTGGCCGCTGCTCATTCTGCAGTTTCATTGTGGGTTTCGGATTTGGAGGCTCGTTGCCTCCGAATCAGAAACAACATACAAATTTGTTTCCTTTGACGAAAACAAATGAAAATGTTTTTAGTTTTCATTTGTTTCGTCCAAAAACTTTTTTTTTTTGTCGTGCGCATGTCTACAAAGCATATCAAGTGGTGTGCTAGTTAATAAACTCTAGGAACTGCTAATCCTGAGACTGAGTGTGTGTGTCAGTTTGCATTCCTCGCATTATCATGCTAAGTGAAGGGCAATGTCTTATACAACAATAACCCGTCGAAGACAACTTTATAAGTCAATATAAAAAAAAAGAGCAATCAATGCACTCTTTGTAAATGATACATTTGTTATTATTTGCTTGTTGAGAGAGTCTGGGCTTCTTTTGTGTTGCTGTAAAGGGAATGTGTATAGCAGTTTTATGCCAGTTTACTTATTCCAAGGATGCACCGATATATCGGCCGCTGAAACATATTGGCTGAAAATGGCACTTTTGGCTAAATGCCAAAAGTGCCGTTTTCCTGCCGATACATCGTTGCATCCCTGCTTTCTTTCCTCCCCGCTGGGTGCTGCTCTGTGTCCCAGCGGGGGGGGGAGAGAAATTGACAGCCGCCCGAGCGCTGCTCTAGGAGGGCGCTGTGAGTGGCCGCGTCTCTCCCACACCACTCAGCCTCCTATCACAGTCCGGCAGAACAGTGTGGGGGCGGAGACAGCCCGCGCTGTCATAGGAGGCTGAGCTCCCCGCACTGCTCGCTCAGCCTCCTGTGACAGCTGTCAGGATGGAGAGCAGGTACAAGCAGTCAGTGATCGCCGAGTGTTTGTAGATAATTGAGGACAGAGTATGGTTACTATATCCTCAATTATGAATGAACAGGAAGTGATCTACATCACCTCCTGCTCATTCATAATTGTAGTTATACTAAACACACTCTGTCCTCAATTATCTACAAACACTCAGCTGTTTAGACCACTAATATTTGCCTGAAGCCCCTAAAAGTAAAGTAAAAAATACAAATATTTAATAAAAAAATGAATTAATAAATACAAATAAATTTAAAAAAATTAAAAAGTTTATAAATAATAAATAAAAATAAAATATTAAAAACATTTGAAAAAATTAAAATAAAAAACATTTTCGGTTTCGGCCTGACAATGGTTTTTATTTCGGTCTTGTTTCGGTTTTAAAATTTCCATTTCCGTGCACCTCTAATTATTTATCTATTGTCTGATGAATATTGTTGGTAAATATGGAATACTGCATACTAATACACTGCGGTTTTTCTAACCAGCCAGCAGATGGAGCTCCAATCCCCTTTTCACAAATGCAGCATTGTATCACTCTCAGCTGTGCTGAAAAAAGCCAGTTTATAAACAAAAGGAGCCATCCTCCAGCCACAAAATGAGGTGGGCTCTGTGTGACTTGCTGCAGCTTCTAACGCACATTGTGAGAATATCGCAGCGTGCAGTGAAATCAGAGGAAGCAATGTCAGTCCAGGAGAGCAGCCGATACAACTATGCAAGACTGAAGGGAAGGCCGGAAATCAGCTTTAATAAGGAAGGATGAGCAGGAACTTGCAGCTTTTACATGAAATTGGCAACATCAGCTTCCATATCTTAGTTCTCATAGGTTCCCTTCACATATATATCAAAAACAATGAAGAATGTACTGCAGGCATGACAATGGGTGGAATATGGAAAAGGCTAAGCTAGCCTGCGGCCGACATACACATACCCCAGGGGACCACGTGACTGGCGGATGATGGGGGATTTTCATCACAATAATAAAAGGGGAAGGAAGATTGGACACACGGATCTGACAGGTTTCAGGTTTTATTACCACTGACTTATTTACCCGTCTCCCCCGGGGCTCTCTTTCAGAAGGAGATTTTTAATACAGACGTTGCACCGAGAAGCCACTGTAATGCAAAGTGATGGGGCTGACTCGATTGCTCTATGCGCGGGAAGTGCTGAGCTGGTGCATTTCATTCACAGTGTCGTTATGCTGCCCAGATACGGAATAAAAGTAATACCATTGCTATAAAAAAAGGTTAAAGAAAATAATTTTCTTCAACCAACGTGCTGTGCATGAGACTGCAGCCTATGAGATGACTACCGTGTATCAGATGGCGCCACCTTCTGGCCATATATGTGCATGCGGGCAAGCTCCATTGCCACCTGTCTGTTTTACAGAACTCCGGGCAGAATAAAAATAATAAAACCTAACCCTGGCAGTGGGGCTACCCCTGCGCTGCAAGGGTTAAGTGCTTGTTTTGGTCTAGAGATATACTCACCTGATCCTCAATTCTTGCCTGGCAGCTAGACCGGTTCCTGCGGCCTCTCTGCCCTTTGCTCCAGCGGTCCAAGGACCCAGGACGTCATTATTTCTAATACCGTGAGGCAGATGCATGGTGGGTATCAAAGCAGCCAATCGCCAAGAATCAGCTCCGTCATGTTGGAAGAAGGGGCGTGAGTTCCATTTCCCATAACTGAAATAAATAATTGATACGAACCATCTAACAATGTACTACATACCTGTGGTCCTGCAGGTCCAATAGGTCCCACATCTCCCGGCGGCCCTCTGGGTCCCTGAAAAGAAGACAGAGAAAAGCTATGTTAGAACCTGTATTGATGGATCTTTGTTCACTTCAGACAGGTTGTGTATTCCTATACAAGTCTTTGGGAATGCAAAACCCCATTGAAGCAGGTCAAATGCAAGTCAGAAAGAGGTCAACTGCAGGCCAGGTGCAGGTCAGAGGGAGGCCAAATGCAAGTCAGAAAGAAGTCAACTGCAGGTTATAAAGAGGTCAAATGCAGGTCAGAAGGAAGCCAAATGCAAGTCAGAAAGAGGTCAACCGCAGGTCAAAAAGAGGTCAACTGCAGGTCAGAAAGAGGTCAAATGCAGGTCAGAAAGAGGTCAACTGCAGGTCAGAAAGAGGTCAACTGCAGGCCAGATGCAGGTCAGAGGGAGGCCAAATGCAAGTCAGAAAGAAGTCCACTGCAGGTTATAAAGAGGTCAAATGCAGGTCAGAAGGAAGCCAAATTCAAGTCAGAAAGAGGTCAACCGCAGGTCAGAAGGAGGTCAAATGTAGGTCAGAAAGAGGTCAACTGCAGGTCAGAAAGAGGTCAACGGCAGGTCAGAAAGAGGTCAACTGAGGGTCAAATTACCCAAAATGCTGGCACCATGCCCAATCAGCTAACAGATGCTAGGCTAGAGCTAGGCAAGCAACACATCACTACACCTAAGCCGAGCACCATTACACATAACAACTACAAGAGGAAGAACCTACATATCAATATACAGTATGTAACACAATGACAGAAATACGGTCCAACAAACATGTTAAACTGTAAACAGTCCCATCTTGTGCAGTTTTACTTAATCAATATAATAATACCCTAAAAAGCGTACTCCCTTCACACACCAACCCACAACATCTCCCAAATTGGAACCAAAAGAGTTACTCACTAGATCTCCGACATTTCCTTGTTCTCCCTTCTCTCCTTTTTCTCCTGGAAGACCCTGCAAAATAAACAAAAAATAGGGATTAACCTGTATCTATACATCTTGGGTGGTAACAGGTTGGTGAATGAAGGGTCTAAACACCTCCTCCTCCAGTTCCCAGAACTGAAACATGTTAGAAAGTACTGAAGACAGTGGATCCACATAACAGACAATGCTGGCTAATGCCCAACTCCAGCCAGAACTTGTTTGGATGGAGCCGGGAAGAATTGGGCAAACCAAAACCCCAACATGGAAGAAAGAAGGTAGACATTTATAATATGCCAGTATTAGACAGTGACACAAATGGTGCTCTTTATAAATATTATGGCCACAGGATTGGAGAGGAGGAGCATAAGAAACAAATACATATTTCCTATGCTCCCCAGCTCCATCTAGTGGCCATTATGTATTATTACATCACAATACATTTGAGCTGGGAAAAGCTCCATCCAGTGGCCATTATGTATTATTGCCTCACAGTATATTTGAGCTGGGAAAAGCTCCATCTAGTGGCCATTATGTATTACTACATCACAATACCTTTGAGCTGGGAAAAGCTCCATCTAGTGGACATGATGTATTATTACCTCACAATACATTTGAGCTGGGAAAAGCTCCATCTAGTGACCATTATGTATTATTACCTCACAATACATTTGAGCTGGGAAAAGCTCCATCTAGTGACCATTATGTATTATTACCTCACAATACATTTGAGCTGGGAAAAGCTCCATCTAGTGGCCATTATGTATTATTACCTCACAATGCATTTGAGCTGGGTAAAGCTCCATCTAGTGGCCATTATGTATTATTATCTCACAATACATTTGAGCTGGGAAAAGCTCCATCTAGTGGCCATTATGTATTATTACCTCACAATACATTTGAGCTGGGTAAAGCTCCATCTAGTGGCCATTATGTATTATTATCTCACAATACATTTGAGCTGGGAAAAGCTCCATCTAGTGGCCATTATGTATTATTACCTCACAATACATTGAGCTGGGAAAAGACCCATCTAGTGGCCATTATGTATTATTACCTCACAATACATTTGAGCTGGGAAAAGCTCCATCTAGTGGCCATTATGTATTATTACATGTCAATACACTTGCGCTGGGAAAAGCTCCATCTAGTGGCCTCCTCACGAGGAGTGCTCAGAATTGTATGTCAGTAAATGCTCAGAATTGTATGTCAGAAAAAAAAACCAGCAGTTACATTGTATGGCACAGCATAGAAACCCTCTGGTCAGGATTCAGCAGTGTACCTACATCTAAAGGAAAAATGTCACTCCTTTGAAGGCAGTCAAGTACGGGGAGGAAGACTGGTTTAAAAGAGATGTAAAATAGGCCATTTATGTAAAAATGGAGAAACCAAGCTTCAATAGAGGTCTGTGTGTGTGTGTGTGTGTGTGTGTGATCAATTGTCTGCCACATACAATGCTGTTTTAACAGCTCTCTCTGGGTGACTTAGTAACACCTGTTTGCTCCGATCATGCGAATGCAATCAACACCTTTCCTCCATTAGGGATCGGACCCCATGCTGGTTATGATAATCAGATTATGTTCATTGGAGCAACATTCGCTATATTTATTCCCAGATATTTTTTCTGAAAGTCATTCTGAATTGAGAAAGCCGGTTGGATGACCAGCGAGGCGAATTCAAGAAAAATATGTCCAGTTGCCTTGATTTATTTTTTACAGACATCCTGAAAAAAGAAAGCTAATGCAGCCACTATATCTTAGGGCTGTTAGGCTGCAATATATACTACATGTTTGGGTTCAGATACCCTTTAAGTAGCACACATATATATAGCTGAAAATGCCTAACATAAGCCGGGACCCTCCACGCATTGGTATCAAAGCCTTCACCATGACGATTGGTAGTCCTATGGTGCTGTAGCCCTTTGAGCCCCTTACCTTGGCCCTCTGTCAGTCTGATGCTGTGTCCTGGGCCATGTCCTGAAGTCATCAGAGCATCAACCTTATCTGAGTAACTGCACATGTGTGGTAACTCAAAAAGGCAATAATTGTGGGGACCGGGGCCTTGAATAGGTGGCCCCCATATATTTAGAGGTGGGGTTTGGGCGGGACCAGACCATAAAGTGGGCACAATGGACGGCCCCTGCATATTTAGGGGTGGGAGTCTGGACTAGACCAGCCTGTAAAGTAGGCATGATTTGGGGTTGTCCTGTTAGAAAGTGAGCAGACACAATGCAGACCACAGGTGTGGATAACAGTGTCCCGAGATGCGGAACCGTATTGTTGGTGAGTATGTACAAAAGACACGGTCCCTCATGAAAGCAAAAATGTTTTTTTTAAAAAGCTGCTTATAGCATCGTGACTAATGCAAATAAAAAAAAAACCTTAAACAGCTTGGGAGCTTGCATATTCATGAATGCCAACAATAGTTCTTCTGCAGAAGGTGATACTTTAATTTTGCTGGCTCTTTAAGGCCTTACAATACGTAGCAGGGTTGTGACCTCCATCTAGTGGGAAGAATGAGACATTGCAGCCAGGGCTGGATTTACTCTCTCTGCTGCCCCAAAGCCAGGTTCCTCAATGCGCCCCCCTTTGCAGGCCGCATACAAGTGATCTCAGCCACATCATCAAGATCACTAGTACAAAACAAGCAGCAGCTTCCCCGCTCTACATTTAGTCCTGCTTACGCAAAGCAGGGCTAAATGTAGAAAACAACTACCCGCCAGATGCCTGGAACTGCATGTCTCGAGCGTCGGGAGATAGAAATGTCACACCCCTGCTGCCCCTCTACTCCCTGCTGCCCCGAGGCCAGGCCTCGGTTGGCCTTGTGGGAAATCCAGCCCTGATTGCAGCCTGGAATGTGATGTCTTGGATAGGGGAAGAGTGTTATGACCGCCATCTATTGGAGAGAAGGAGGGGTAACAGCCTGGAATGTGATGGTTTGGATAGGGGAAGAGTGTTATGACCTTTATAGATTGGAGAGAAGGAGGGGTTACAGACTGGAATGTGATGGGTTGGATAGGGGAAGTGTTATGACCTTTATAGATTGGGGAGAAGGAGGGGTTACAGACTGGAATGTGATGGGTTGGATAGGGGAAGTGTTATGACCTTTATAGATTGGGGAGAAGGAGGGGTTACAGACTGGAATGTGATGGGTTGGATAGGGGAAGGGTGTTATGACCGACATCTATTGGAGAGAAGGAGGGGTTACAGCTTGGAATGTGATGGTTTGGATAGGGGAAGTGTTATGACCTTTATAGATTGGGGAGAAGGAGGGGTTACAGACTGGAATGTGATGGGTTGGATAGGGGAAGTGTGTTATGACCGACATCTATTGGAGAGAAGGAGGGGTTACAGCCTGGAATGTGATGGTTTGGATAGGGGAAGTGTTATGACCTTTATAGATTGGGGAGAAGGAGGGGTTACAGACTGGAATGTGATGGGTTGGATAGGGGAAGTGTTATGACCTCCACCTAGTGGGGAGAAGGACAAGTTACAGCCAGGAATGTGATGGCTTGGATAAAGGAAGAGTGGTATGAAGTGTTATGACCTCCATCTAGTGAGAAGTAGGAAGGGTTGGAGCCTGGAATGTGATGGCTCGGATAAGATAACAGTGTTATGACCTCTATCGAGTGAGGAGAAGAAGTTCCTCAATGCGCCCCCCTTTGCAGGCCGCATACAAGTGATCTCAGCCACATCATCAAGATCACTAGTACAAAACAAGCAGCAGCTTCCCCGCTCTACATTTAGTCCTGCTTACGCAAAGCAGGGCTAAATGTAGAAAACAACTACCCGCCAGATGCCTGGAACTGCATGTCTCGAGCGTCGGGAGATAGAAATGTCACACCCCTGCTGCCCCTCTACTCCCTGCTGCCCCGAGGCCAGGCCTCGGTTGGCCTTGTGGGAAATCCAGCCCTGATTGCAGCCTGGAATGTGATGGTTTGGATAGGGGAAGAGTGTTATGACCTTTATAGATTGGAGAGAAGGAGGGGTTACAGACTGGAATGTGATGGGTTGGATAGGGGAAGTGTTATGACCTTTATAGATTGGGGAGAAGGAGGGGTTACAGACTGGAATGTGATGGGTTGGATAGGGGAAGTGTTATGACCTTTATAGATTGGGGAGAAGGAGGGGTTACAGACTGGAATGTGATGGGTTGGATAGGGGAAGTGTTATGACCTTTATAGATTGGGGAGAAGGAGGGGTTACAGACTGGAATGTGATGGGTTGGATAGGGGAAGTGTTATGACCTTTATAGATTGGGGAGAAGGAGGGGTTACAGACTGGAATGTGATGGGTTGGATAGGGGAAGTGTTATGACCTTTATAGATTGGGGAGAAGGAGGGGTTACAGACTGGAATGTGATGGGTTGGATAGGGGAAGTGTTATGACCTTTATAGATTGGGGAGAAGGAGGGGTTACAGACTGGAATGTGATGGGTTGGATAGGGGAAGTTTTATGACCTCCACCTAGTGGGGAGAAGGACAAGTTACAGCCAGGAATGTGATGGCTTGGATAAAGGAAGAGTGGTATGAAGTGTTATGACCTCCATCTAGTGAGAAGTAGGAAGGGTTGGAGCCTGGAATGTGATGGCTCGGATAAGATAACAGTGTTATGACCTCTATCGAGTGAGGAGAAGAAGGGCTAACAGGATGGAATTTGGTGGGTTGGATAGAGGAACAGGGTTATGACCTCCATCTAATGGGAAGAAGGAGCAGTTGCAGTCTGCAATGTGGTGGCTCAGGCAGGGGAACGGTGTTATGATCGCCATCTAGTGGGCAGAAGAGGGAATTGTAACCTGGAATGGGACCTCCATCTAGTGGAGAAAAGGAGGAGTTGCAGCCTGGAATGTGGCAGCTCAGATAAGGGAATAGAGTTATGACCTCCATCTAGGAGGGAAGAAGAACAGGTTACAGTCTGGAATGTTATGGCTTGGATAATAGAACAGAGTTATGACCTCCACCTAGCGGGGAGAAGGAAAGGTTACAGCCTGGAATGTGGTGGCATGGATAGGGGAATAGTGTTATGACCTCCATCTAGTGGGACGAAGGAGAACTTGCACCCTGGAATGTGATGGCCCGGATAGGAGAACAGTGTTATGTTATATAGTCTTACATGTAAACCTCTTAAATGTGACCTGGTATCAGCTGTCTGCAGTCCCTGTACAGCAGGGCTCACACTGGGAGAGGTTGAAGCAGCACAATGAGCCAAGAAGTCACGCTGCAGTATAAGCAGCTTGCTGATAGTAGAAGAGAGCAGAATGACAGAGAGATGAGCTCATCCGTGAGCTGCTTGACTTTGAAGCAGTCTCTTGTAATCTCCTGTATAGCTGAGCTCAGCCTGCTGCTTCTCCTGTCCCTCTCCTGGGGGGGGGGGGGGGGGGGGGTCACT